GGAAAGACCAAGTGGGAGGGAGAGACTCAGTGTGCAGGGGCCCAAAAGTTCATGGTAGATTCACCTTTAAAGATGCAATGTCAGGGATTAAATGCTGGAGAAAAAAAAGGTTCAAGGAGAATTTGTTTTCAGTAACATAGGGAATGAGCATTAAAGCAAGTTTAGTTTGCCCTCCGTGGTGGCACAGAGTTCAAATCTCAGCACTACGAAGCTGTCTGCAGCCATGAGTTCAATCCCCGGCCAGGGAGTGACCCACAGGGCGCAGCAGACCTCTCCTGACTTCCTACTGCTCCCCTCAGCAGTGGATTTCAGTCCATCTGCCTGTCCTGATCTCCACTCTGTCTCTGGTGAATCCTCTCACCCCTCCCCACTGCACCTCTGGCTGTACCCCAGTTCTTGGATGCATAAATAAAATAAATATTTAAAAAAAGAAACATCTGTACAATCAAGCAGTTTCCAGGATGTTAGCAATGTAGCTGTCAGACTAGCAACTATATGCTCCTATTAGCAATGGCCCAAACCCAGCCTGACAGCACCAAATGTTGGGAGGGACGTGGAGCAACAGGAACTCTCAACCACAGCCGGTGAGAGTGCAAAACAGAGCAGGCCCTTCGGGAGACAGAGTGGTGATTTCTTACAAAACCACCATCCAGCAATCACCCTCTGTGGCATTTACCCAAAGGAGCTAAAAATTTATGTCTACACAAAAACCTGCACACGGATATTTACAGAAGCTTTATTCACCACTGCCAAAGCTTGGAAGCAACCAAGGTGTCCTTCAACAGGTGCATGGATAAATAATCAGTGGTACAGGCAGACAATGGAATATTATTCCATGCTTAAAGAAGTGAGCTGTCAAGCCATGAAAGAGTTGGCGGAACCTTAGACACAGAATGCAGAGTGAAGGAAGCCGGTGTGGAAAGACTAAGCCCATTGGATTCCAACTCTACAATATTATGGACAAAGCAAACACTTATAGAGACAGTGAAATGATCAGGTGCTGGGGAGTTGGGGGCAGGAGGAATGGGCAGACGAGTGCAGAGGCTCTGAGGCGATGCAACTACTCTTGATGGTAGCATACCAGTGCTACGTGTCACCATTTGCTCGACCGAATGCATAGAATACACGTGAGAGGGAGAGGGAACTCTGACAGAAACGCTGGACTTCGGGTGACAGTGCGCACCAGGCTCACCACTTAGAGTAAATGTCCCCGGGCCCTCCCTTGAGGCGCACCAGGTTAATCACAGCACTATGAGGCTATCGCAGACACTGCAGCACAAGTTCGATCCCAGGCCAGGGAGGTGACCCACATGGCTCAGCAGACCTCTCCTGCCCCACCTACTGCTCCCCTCAGCAGAGTATTTCAGTCCATCTGCTGTTCTGCTCCCCACTCGTTTCTGGTGAATCCTCTCACACCTCCCCCTCTGCATCTCTGGCCTGTACCCCAGCTCTTGGATGCATACATAAAAAAGTCTTAAAAAAAAAAAAAAGAACAATGTCCCACTGTGGACAGGATGTTGATAACTGGAGAGATTGTGAGTATGGGGTAGGCACGTTTAGGGCACTCTCTCTCTGCCCTTTCTGCTCAATTGTGCTGTGAACCTAAAACAGTTTTAAAAGTAATTTATTCTGTTAAGGAGACGATAGCCCAGCAAGTGAACACAGCAGGCTGCAGGCTCCCTCCCAAGTGCTCTGTGCTCTGACGTAGGTCCACACTGGGTGGACCCAGGCACGGGCTTCCTGAAGACCCTTCCATGTGGTGGTGATGCTAAGGGTCCGCCCCAGACACTGTCAGGAGCCTCCTGTGCATTGCCAGGGACACCACCAGAGAGTGTCCCCAAAAGTAGTTGGGGAAACGCTGAGCTAGAAAGCAGAAGGGAGAGCCAGGAAGATGTCCAGGGCTAGGACGTGATCAATAATAATGGACGTTGTTCCAGGCCCTAGGAAAAAGGGAGAAGAGGGAAACTAAGAGGCAGCAACTTTCTAACACTGGAGTTGAGAAGGCGCCAGAAAGGTACAAAAATAGTTGACTGCGAGAGGGCTGGGTAATCATGCCAGACGTTTGTCTACAAAAAGTCTGTCACCTGGGTCCTCGCTGGTGGCACAGGGGGTTGAGTCTCAGCATACTATGAAGCTGTCCGTAGCCACTGCATCGTGAGCTCAATCCCCGGTCAGGGAGTGACCCACGGGGCGCAGCAGACCTCTCCTGACCCACCCACTGCACCCTCAGCAGGTGTTTCATTAGATCCGCCTGTTCTGCTCTCCACTCTGTCTCTGGCGAGTCCTCTCACCACCCCACTTCTGGCCTGTACCCCAGTCCTTGTATGCATAAATACATTTTAAATTAATTAAAAATTATTTTATTAAAAAATAAGAATTTAATTAATTGAAATCTGTGACCTTTTCCTATCTCAAGCCCTACGCTTTTCCTCTCCAGGTCATCACCCCCACCTCCCTTCCTCTCATCACATGACCAGTCCATGACCCCCGCGCTCTAGGGAGTCTCCTGCTGGCCAGAGAGGCATGCACTGCTTTATCTGTCACTCCCTTTGAACTCCTACCTGCATTATTAAAAAAAAGAAAACCACTGCCAAGAATCTAGGTAAAGCAATAAAAAGTTGGCAATTGCAACTTCCCTTAAACAGAGAAATACAATATGTGCCTTGTCGGTGCTCTCGGCACCAATCATGTGGAATAATTAATAGTTAGGTCTCGGGCAGCAATGACTCAACCTGACTGAATTCGCCCCTCTGTTAGGGTTTGAGAGAAGTGGAGGCAGGAGCAGGCAGCTCTGGAGAAAACACAAGCAACAGGCAAGGGAGCAGCATGGCCTAT